GTTTTTACAAATGCCCAAAACTTTCTACAAACAATCACAAGACAAACCAAAGAAAGAATAGAAAGCCAAAATGTGTCATTTAAAGGAACAAAATAAATCTCTAGAAACTCTCATTGAAGAAACAGATATTGGACTAACTAAACAAGGGCTTTAAAATTGCCTAACATGTGCAAAGAGCTCAAGAAAAACATGGACAAAGATCTAAAGGAAATCAAGAAGACAATATTTGAACAGATACTAGCAAGAGGAGACAAATTATTTTTCTAAAAGAACAAACTAAATAAAACAAAAAATCCATCAAAAAATGAATGGATAAAGAAGTTGTGGTCTATGTATACAATATAAATAATAGTGAAAAGGAATATAAGGGAAGGGAGAAGAAATGTGTGGGAAATATCAGAAAGGGAGACAGAACATGGAAGACTCCTAACTCTGGAAAACGAACTAGGGGTGGTGGAAGGGGAGGAGGGCGGGGGGTGGGGGTGAATGGGTGACGGGCACTGAGGGGGGCACTTGACGGGATGAGCACTGGGTGTTATTCTGTATGTTGGTAAATTGAACACCAATAAAAAATAAATTTATTATAAAAAAACAATGGAATATTACTCAGCCATTAGAAACAACAAATACCCACCATTTGCTTCAACATGGATGGACCTGGAGGGTATTATGCTGAGTGAAATAAGTCAATCGGAGAAGGACAAACATTATATGGTCTCATTCATGTGGGGAATATAAAAATTAGTGAAAGGGAATAAAGGGAAAGGAGAGAAAATGAGTGCAAATAGCATGAGGGTGACAAAACATGAGAGACACCTAACTCTGGGAAATGAACAAGAGGTAGTAGAAGGGGAGGTGGGCGGGGGGTGAGGGTGACTGGGTGATGGACATTGAGGGGGGCACTTGGCAGGATGAGCACTGTGTGTTATGCTATATGTTGGCAAATTGAACTCCAATTAAAAAAAATTTTTTTAAAAGTAAAGGTAAGATTAGACACTAAAAAAAAAATCAAAAATACAGTAACTGAATTGAAAAATTCACTGGAGTAATTCAATGCAGACCCAAACAGGAGAAAAACTTAGTTCTCTTGAAGATAGGCCATCTAAAATATCAAATCTAAAGACCAAAAAGGAGAAAGAATTTAAAAAAAGTGAATAGAGTGTCAGGGACTCATATGACCCCTCATGTGGATTAATATATGCATTGCGGAGGTCACAGAAGAGAAAGAGAAAAGAGCAGAAATATTGCTTCAAAAAATAATGGCACATGACAAGATATTATATGTAGACAACTCTAAGATTCCTCACATACCAAAAACACTGTCACAATTAATAAGCAATTTAGAAAAATAGCAAGAAACAAAATCAACTCGAAACATCAAATGTATTACTATATATTAATAAGGAACATTTCAAGAAAATTAGAAAACCAATTCCATTTACAATAGAATCAAAGAATAAAAATATACTCAGGAGTAAACTTAACCAAGGAGGTAAAAGATTTTACATTGAAAGCTAAAAGACATCGCTGAAGGAAATATAAAAAGACACAAATAAATGGAAAAAGAAATCCAGGCTTCATGGATTAGAAGACTTTAGTACTTCAGTACTTTAAAGAAGTCAGTACTTCCCAAGATGATCCACAGATACCATGCAAACTCTATCAATAGTGAACAATCTTCTCTTTTGGCAGAAATAAATAAAAAAAAAACTATCCTAAATTTGATATGGAATTTCAAAAACACTGAGTGCCCAAGACAGTATAAGAAAAAAAGTACAGGGTTGGAGTTCTCATATTTCCTGATGCCAAAGGATACTACAAAGCTATAATATTCAAAATAATGTGCTATGACAAAAAGACATATGTATAGATCAACAAGGTAAAATAGAAAGTCCAGAAATATCCCCAGGTATATTTAGTCAAATAACTTTTTTGACAAAGGTGCCAGACCATTCATTAGGTAAAGACAGTCTTTTCAGCAAATGGCGTTGGAAAACTGGATATTCACATGCAAAATACATTATACCATATACTAAGTCAACCTAAAACAGAGGAGAGACATAAAAATATGAGCTATATGTATAAAATCCTTAGAATATACAGAGAGAACTCTTTATGTAACTGAACTTGGCAGTGGTTTCTTGGATAAGACACCAATAGCACAGGCAACAAAACAAAAAATAGCTAAATTGGATTTCAACAAAAAGAAAAGCTCTGTGTGTCAAAAGACACTATCAAAATAGTGAAAGGGGAACCCAGGGAATGGAGAAATATTTGCAAGTCATATATATAAAAAGATTGATTGCCAGATTATATAAAGAACTACTCTACCCAAAAAACAAACATGATTCAAAAATGGGCAAAGACTTGAGCAAGTAGTTCTCCAAAGAAGATACATAAATGGCCAAGAAGCTTATGAAATGGTAAACTTCACTAATCAGGGAAATTCTAATCTAATCACAATGAGACACCACTTCCCACCCATTAGGATAGCTAAGAACAATTTTTTTTAATCACATAAAGAAAACAGAAAATGACAAGTGTTTGTGAAGATATGGAAAAGTTGGAACTCTTACACATTGTTGGTGGAAATGTTAAGTGGGACAGCCACTGTGAAAGACTGTATGGCAGTTCCTCAAAAAATGAAATATGCAATTATCATATGACCCAAAAATTCCATTTCTCAGTATATTACCAAAAGAATTAAAAGTAGGGATTCCAACAAATATTTGTACACTACTGTTCATAGCAGCATTATTCACTTTAGACAAAAGTGGAAGTAACCCATGTGCCTAAGGACAGATAAATAGATAAATAAATGTGGTATATACATACACAATGAAATATTACTCTGCCCAAAAAGGAAAGAACTTTGGACACATACTACAACATGGATGAATCTTGAAGACATTATGCAAAGTGAAATAAGCTATCACAGAAGAACAAATATTGTATGATTCCACCTGTATAAGGTGCGTAGAGTAGTCAAATTCATACAGACAAAAGAAGAGTAGTGGTTACCAGGGTCTGGAGGCAGAGAGGAAATGAGGAGTCACTGTTGAGTGGGTATGAGGTTTCAGTTTGGGAAGAGGAAAATGTTCTGGAGATGGATGTAGGTAACAGTTGCACAACAGTGTGGAAGTTCTTAATGCCCCTGAACTGTACCCTTCACTATGGTTAAGATGGTAAATTTTATACTATGTGTATTTGATCACAATTTTTTAAAATGGGGAAAAGAAGAAAAATTATATAAGCATCTGTTATCTCACAGATTACACACCTTAACTTCCATTACTCTCCTCCCTAATAACTCCTATCTCAATTCCAAAACTTACCCACCATCATGTCAGGTAGGACATGTGTTTTGGCCTTGTCTTATTTGTGCAATTGAATCTTCCACTACTCTAGTCTGGCCAGTGCCACTGAGGGAACCCAGTCTCATGGCCGTCTCACTTACACCTCCACACATTGGAGCCCCTGTCTTCTCAACCTGCTGCATCTTCCTCCCCAGTTCCATTTCTTAAAAAATGCCACCATGAATCAAAGTCCATTTTGCCCATGAATCATTCCCCAAAATTTTCTGTTCACTCAATGCAAGGTCAGTAGGGGAAGGGTAGATATTTTGGCACCTGGGAAGCCCAGGCCAGGTTTAGGCCTTTGCTGTCCTGAGCTGAATAGTACTGGGAATATTATGTACACCACCTGATTGTCTGTCCTCGCCTTTATAAAATTGGAGATCATCACTATTCCCTCAAAGTGGCACGATATACAATGTATGAGATAACTCCTGTACAATAGCAACCCAGCACCTACAGGCAATGGGCAGCCACTAATCATAGCTTTAATTCATTTTGATAACTTTGAGAGCAGTAGTTTTGAGTTCAGGCTCTGCATTCACACCACCTGGGTAGCATTTAAAACTTAAAATATGTAGACCCAATCCCAGACCAATCAAATCAGAACATCTCGGCTGAGCCAGGAGTTAGGGCTCTACTCGAAGGAGCCATTGGAGATGATGCCTGCAGATCTAGCCATCATTTGCACCCAGTCCCACCTCATTACATTATGTCTCTCTCTCTCTTTTTTTTATTTAGTTATGGATAAACAATCCCCTTAAAAATCCTTTCATGTGGTAGACTCCCACTTCATAAGTATTTGCCTGTCATCATAAAAATGAAAATTAAAATATCAACATGTTGAAGCATTTTTACCAGAAGGCTAGGACCAGGGTAAGGAACAGTTTAGGACTGTTACCTAAAGAGATTCTCAATAACAGGGTCAGGTAGGACCTAGGAAGGGCTTCCTGAAAAGTGGGTCCTGGGATAAGCAAGATGGCAGAGTGGGAAGCCCTAGCACTCCTTCCCCCTAAAAGCATGCCAATTCTTGGCAACATTTCATGCTCAAATTCTCCTTATAAAGAAATCCAGAATCTAAATAAAAGGGTACCTCAGCCAAATGTGTAACCAGTCTCACTGAAGCCAGAGGATAGTTATGAAAATATTCTCTCATATCTCACTTGTGACATAAGCCAATAACAGAAAAGCAAATATTGCAGGATTTCACTTATATGTAGCATCTAAAATAGTCAAGTTCATAGAATCAAAAGTAGAAGTTGGTTTCCAGGGCTTGGGGGAAGGGGATAATAGGTACTTACTATTCCATGGAGAGGAAGAGTTATGAAGTTAAGTGAGATGAATAAGATGTAGAAATCTGATGCACAACATGGTACCTACAGTCAATAGTTTATATTGTACTTTCAAAAATTTGTTAAAGGGGTAGATATCATACTAAGTGTTTTTACCAAAATAAAATAAAATTTAGAATAAAATAGAATACAATAAAATAGACTAGAAAATTAAAAATAAAATAAAAATGTATATTCTAGGTGTTTTGCTTGTCTCACCCTGCTTCAATCCCTGTGCCCACCGGGAGGGGAGCCACTAATTCTACACTGAAGAGCTTTACATGAAGTCCACATTGAGAGCTACAGTTTTACTTACTTGTGGCACTGGTTTAACAGGTCTGACCATTAAGCCTCCAACATACACAGTGTTGGGGAGCAGGGGCCGAGCAAATTCAAGGGCAAAGTCAGAGTTAACAAACCACAGCTCTGCTTTCTTTAGAAGATGAGACAAAACTGGCCTAGCACCTTCCGGGAAATGTTCCTTGATGGTCTTGTCAAACGTAGATTGGATTTGCCATTGTTTCATGAAGAAATCAAAGAACATCAGAAAATTCTTCACTCGGCTCCAGAAATCCATGCAGTCAGTTAACAAGGAATGGAATACTGGAACATAAGACACAGGGCTTGGTAGCCCAAGGTCCACACTGCCAAAGGGGGTGGGAAGAATTGACACAAATGGCTTCCCAAGCTTCTCGGCAATCAGAAAAGAACAGAAGTCAAATGCTTCAACAAATACCAAGTCAAAATTCTCATTTTTTAAGGAATCCATGATGTCACTTCTCCTTAGCAAATTACTGCATTGAATCCCCAGTTGTTCCATTAACTTTACAAGGTTGTCAAATGCTTCTCTGTAAAAAAAAAAAAAAAAAAAAAAAAAAAAAAGAAAAGAAAAGTAAGGGCAAACATTCACTGGAGGTGTTAATTTCACAATATATAAAGGAATCTTGGGCTACAAAGAAAATATCCCAGGTAAGTGAGACCGTACCTGGCAGCAGACCACCTATTTTACCAGTGTTCAACAAATAACTGTTCTGGTCACTCTGCTCTGGGTGTTCTATTTCTTAAGATGTTCTCACTCTCTCCCATCCCCTTTCTCCAGCCAATCATATCCACTCACCATCCATGCCAATTCAAGAGCCTTCCACTGTGGGAGCCATCTCTGACTATAGCAGACCTCACAATTCGATGTCTACCTGATACATTCCGTGATGCTCTCTTTAACTTTCATCTCTATGAACATTATCTGACTTTTTATGAGTGACAGTCTTCTTTACCAGTCTACCTGTGGAAGTAACTTGGTAGCAGAGTCCACAGTATTGATAATATAGCCACGTTCTGTTCCTTAAGTTTTGTACATTCTCCATTTGACAGATGACCTCACACAAGGACTATCTGATGGTAGTATTAGAACCCAAATTCTAAGCCGAACATGAGATTTACATCTTTCTAGCCTATGAGGTAAACAATTTAAAACAAATAAAAATAAAAGTCTGTTTGAAGCTTACTATTAACCTTTCCATTTCATGCTAAAATTTTACCGATACCTAATTAAGACACTATATATGGCACTATTCTCCTTCAATGTTTTCCTGTCAGTGCCTGCAAAGAAAATGACCCTTTTTGTACAATATATGGGCAACAGATGAGAATCTTCTTGACCAGAGGTTACGGGTGCAGGTGCTTTGGAGACCTGCTACCTGAATGAAGGACTGAGAGAATCAATAGCTCTGCAAACTTGTAACCTGTACAAAACTATACCATGTCAGCCCACTTAAGGAAGGCTTAAACAGGTGAGAGCTCATTAGCAATATGTAGATGCCCACAAGTACTTTAGAATTGACTTTAAGTAGAACACCTGGGTGGCTCAGTGGCTGAGCACCTGCCTTTGGCTCAGGGCATGATCCTGGGGTCCTGGAATCAAGTCTTGCATCAGGTTCCCCGCAGGGAGCCTGCTTCTGTCTCTGCCTCTCTCTCTGTGTCTCTCATGAATAAATAAAAAAAATCTTAAAAAAAAAAAGAACCGACTTTAAGTGACAGATGATTAGCTGAATGATCCTATATTTTTAAACAATTTTACATAATGAATGATTGCTACATATTGTGCATAAATTCAAGATATGAAGTATTACTCAAAAGTAGAGCATTAATCATATTTGAAATTAAGCTAATAAACTGAACAAAATACTTGCCATACGTAACATGTGTATACAACCAGTCTTCAAAGTGGGGGAGAAGAGACAAGATATATACTTTAAAAATTATGAATAATAATAAAGATGATATAGACAAAGTTTAAAATGACTATTTTATTTTTTAATAATAAATTTATTGTTATTGGTGTTCAATTTGCCAACATACAGAATAACACCCAGTGCTCATCCCGTCAAGTGCCCCCCTCAGTGCCCATCACCCATTCACCCCCACCCCCAGTCCTCCTCCCTTTCCACCACCCCTAGTTCGTTTCTCAGAGTTAGGAGTCTTTATGACAGAACATAAAGACTCCTAAAATGACTATTTTAGATAAGATCTCATAGACAAGAGAATTTTGTCTTCTACTTTAGGTAAGGAAAAAGCCAGATTTTAGGACCACCTTGATTACTGAATAAAATTTTTAAGGAAGAAAGGAAGGTGGGGTTAGTCCACTGTAATTAACCAAGCTAAAGGAATTAATATGCATCTTTCCCCCTTGTGTCAAAGATAAAAATTTTCTATACATCCCAGGTAATGACAAAAACTCTCAGGCTAATCTCACACTGGGTATCTCTAAGTTATTTGGATTTTTAAATGAATTAGAAATATACCAGCTCAAAGTGGTGGCTCTGATATGCCTACCAAGAATGAGAAATTATATTGTCTATCCTGCCTTCTATGTTGCAGAGAGTATATACAAAAACACTGTAGATGAAGTGTTGCCAGGAAGATCAAGAAGGAACATTCCCCCATGTTATACCGAAATACTTTCATGCTATTAATGGAAGAGCCAAAGTACACAGATTGACTGGCTGGGAGTGCAAAATTCATCTACTCCATCCGTCCACTGTCACCTATCATTGATCTCCCCAACCATCTACACATCCATCCACTTCTCTTAAATTTGCTCCAAGTATCCATGCATCCAACCATTTATTTGTATCACTAAAATGGTAAGTCTTTCATTCAGAAAATAAAAGAAATTACCTGCCCTGCAAAACTTCTTTCATAAACAAGTCAAAATATTTCTTTAATTCTTTTTCATGTTCCTCAGATAGAAGCCAACTGATAACGTGGTATACACTTTCCTTCTCTTCTAAATAAAAAAAAAATTAAAACACCAATAAGAAATATGTAATTATGTCATACAACCCAAATTAATATTAGCACAATGATACCATATTTTTATTCCAATAATTTTATATATATTTGAATGTTTGCTTTTAGAGGTTTTTTTTTGGCTTGCTTCTTCATTTCTTCAATCATAGGATCTGATAATATTCCTTGAGAATCTTATAAAAATTAAATTACTTTTATTCAATTTAAAGTTTTCAAGTAAAGGCATAGATATTCATCATTTTACAGGTGAGAAAATAAAGCTAAATGGAGTATAAGATCATTTGTCAAGGTTGCACATATAGTAAGTGGTACACAATGTTTTTATTTTTTAAGATCTTATTTATTTATTTATTTATTTGAGAGAGAAAGAGAGAGTAAAAGAGAGAGCACAAGCAGAGGGGAAAGGGAGAATCAAGCTCCCCACTGAGCAGGGAGCCTGACATGGGGCTTGATGCCAGGATCCTGGGATCATGACCTGATCTGAAGGCAGAAGCTTAACTGACTCAGCCAACCGGTGCTCCTACACTTTGTATTTAAATGCAAATCTTATTTTGTCCCAGTTTCCCAGTCCTTAGTCTCTTAGAAAAAAAATAATTTTTATTTCTTAAAAGTGATACATGCAAAGGTTTTTGATTCAGTCAAAAATATGCCAAAGGCTAATTAAACAAAATAGTCTTCTGCAACTCTACTTCACATCCTGGCATCTCCTCCATAACTTACGTGTAATAAAGAGTCTGATGCCATTTTTGAAGTTGGACTGATGACAGCTTTCAAGCTTCATCTCACCCTTAACCCTCTGTAACATATCTTGGCAGACAGAGAAGAAATCCTCAACATGCCATCCCTTATAAGCACTGGGTATTATGCTATATGTTGGCAAATTGAACTCCAATAAAAAAAAATGCCATCCCTTGTGTGAGCAAGAGTTTCAAGCCAAGCAAGCCATACCCAAGTAGGGGAATCCTCATCCATCCCACTCAGAAGCTTTCATAATTGGCATTTTGGGACAAAAGTATGGGTTTGGACTTTCAGTAGCCCTGGGTCATGTGTCTCACACAAATCCCTCTTCTATATCAGCTTGGATTGTGCTTCTGGATCCAGCATGAGCTGTGATTGACACTAGGGTAGGTAGAAGTCTGTGACCAATGGTTGTGTGTCTCCAGGACTGCCCCCATTATAGACAGTACTCTGTAATAAATTCAAAGAGTTCTCAGCTTTGACATATGTGGAATCTAACATTACTTAAAAAGAAATTATTACAGATAAATGACACAGATTGGCTTCTGTGGCTCTACATCAGAGGTTCTAAACTACTTCTAACATCAGTTGGATGCAGCAAAGACAAACCTTAATGGTCTTGGTCAGTACTGGGGGAACATAACAGATATGTCTAAAGAGCTCACTAAATTTATCAAAGTATCTCTGTAGTCTTAGTAGTTAACAAGATATTAGACAGGGGACAACTATGCATGCCCTGTCTTAACTACTGGAATTAAATATCCTATAGTCATAAGACCCATTGGTTAAGTAATATCATAGTAGCTATGGTTGCTCTTATGTGAAAAGTCATAAGTTAAAATTAAGGTTTTAGCACTAACAGCACAACAAAAAGGGATTCATTAGATCTGCCAAGCATATTAAAACTGTTAACGCAACCAAATATATTTAATACGATTCCTTCAAAGATTAAATCCATTAAAATGTATCTATTAACAAGGAATGATTTTCTCCACTGCTTCCCCATTTAATAGCCTAATTTAGACTATTCTTAAACCTGAATGAATGGTGCCTCTCAGCGTACTGTTATAACTTTACTGCTAATGTCATCATATTAGGGCCACCATTTCCAATATTACTGAAATTGCTGACTATATCTACTAAGTACTAATAGATACTTTGCAAGCATAGATTTAGGAATATATTCTGTTCAATTCCTATTTCAACAAGTTCTCAGCTGCAGTGTCTCTTAACCTTCATCTTTGAAGGACACATCATTTTGTAGCTGGCTTCTCATGGACTACCTCAATAGCCCCACACACAAGTTTTGTCAGCAAGGTCTTAACCACATTTAACTCTTTCCAGAAACACATGTATGACACTACATTGATGAAAACCTCCTTTTGCAGAGATTCATTGAGCATACTCATTTAGGACACAAACATTCACATAGGAATTTGCAAAGAGGGATGTGCTGCTGCCCTAAATAAAGTACAAGCCATGGCACCTCACTTAAAATTCCTGGGACGAATTACTTGCCCAGTTGAAGGTCCTTCCACCCCTGACACTGTCAAATACCTATTATGGTTTTGTTTCCAGCATGAGACCTACTTTCAAACAGCAACTGGTGAAGATTTTATATATATATGAAATACATTTATATGAAAATTCTGCTATATATACATACACATATGTATAAATGTATATGTTCATGTATATTTATATTTAACTACATAAATATATGTAAAATTCTGAAAATAAATAATAGGTTGCAAGGCAGTGGAGAAGGTATAGTTAGATGGTGGAGTACCAGTAATCTGTCTCCTGACCTAGACAATTCCACTGACAGAATTTGTCTAAAATAACTATTTGGGAATTCTGCAGTCAACTGATGCTTTTCAACAACCAGGAGAAGTCCTTAACTATAAATTGCAGATAAGGGGCACCTGGGTGGCTCAGTGGTTGAGTATCTGCCTTTAGCTCAGAGCATGATCACAGGGCCCTGGGATCGAGTTCTGCACTGGGCTCCCAGCAGGGGGCCTGCTTCCATCTCTGCCTATGTCTTTGCCTCTCTATGTCTCTCATAAATAAATAAATAAAATCTTAAAATTGAAATAAAGAAAGAAAGAAAGAAATTGCAGATAATTTTAGTCATTTCAGCTCTTTTCACAGCAGCAACTAACCATGCCCCACTCCTCAGCCTCCAAGCAGAAAGCTATATGTATGTGTTCATAGAACAGCTTGTACACAGGTTTAAAGAGCCTAAGTGGGAAAAAATGACCTTCTTCAAATATCAACTATCTGAGCTCTGATTGCTGCTTCTGATCACAGAAGTACAGACAAAGAAGTCAGCAGCAATATTTTTGGATTATGCTTTGTCATTGCAACCCCACCCTCTCTGACTGAATGGACTTCCAGGGGATCTTTTTAAGACTTTTAGACTGATGTTACCTTTTCCCCTCATTTTTCTCATTTTCTTCTTTGGGAGGGAAACGTGAAAAGCTAGGACATTGTAAAATAACTACATATACCAGGAAAATTAGAAAGTGTCCATTCAAGCCGAGGAAAAGGCTCAGAAAATACCTAAGAATACCAAAATTTATACCTCACAATGATCCTTAACACAAAGTCAGCCCAGAACAATTTTTTAATGAAAAAAAACTAATAACAAAAATCTATGAATCCTAGAGAAAGGAGAGTCTCATCTCCAGATATAGCACAGTGTCAGATTCAAATGGACAGTTTTCAAAAAAAATTATAAGAAAACTAAGGCTTATTCAGAGGAAAAAGTAAAACAACAGAAACTGTCTCTGAGAAAGACCTGATGGCAGATATACTGGACAATGATTTTAAAGTAACTGCCTTAAAGATTCTCAGGGAGGGGATCCCTGGGTGGCTCAGCAGTTTAGTACCTGCCTTTGGCCCAGGGCATGATTCTGGAGTCCGAGGATCGAGGCCCCCATCAGGCTCCTGGCATGGAGCCTGATTCTCCCTCCGCCTGTGTCTCTACCTCTGTGTGTCTCTCATGAATAAATAAATAAAAATCTCCTAACTCTGGGAAACAAACTAGGGGTGGTGGAAGGGGAGGTGGGTGGGGGTGGGGGTGACTGGGTGACAGGCACTGAAGTGGGCACTTGACGAGATGAGCACTGGGTGTTATTCTATATGTTAGCAAATTGAACACCAATAAAAAATAAATTTATAAAAAAAAAATAAATAAAAATCTTTAAAAAAAGATTCTCAAAGAATTAAAGGAAGATGTGGAGAAGGTCAAAGAAAAAGTGTATGTAAAATAGGAATGTCAATAAAGGCATAGAAAATCTAAAAAGAAAACAGAAAACATTCTACAACTGAAAAATAAAATAAATGAAATGAAAATTTCACTAGAGGGATTCAAAGGCAGATTTGAGCAAGCAGAAGAAATAATTAGTGAACCTGAAGATAAAACAATGGAAATTATCAAGTGTGAAGAACAGAAAGTTAAAAGATTTCAGAAAAGAACACAGCCTAAAGGATCAACATATGCACTGTGGATGCTCACAAGGAAAAGAGAGAAAGAAAGGGATAGAGAGAACATTTTAAGTAATAAGAGCTGAAAATATCCCAAATGGATGAAAAATATTAGAATAAACATCTAGGAAGCTCAACAAACTCCAAGGAAAATGAACTCAGGTACCTACCCACATCAGGACACATTATAATCAAAATTGGGAAAGATAAAGAGAGAATATTAAAGCAGCAAGATAAAAGTGACTCAACACATATAAGTGATTGTCAATGAGATGATCAATAGATTTGTAATCAGAAATTTCAGAGGCCAAAAAACAAAAATTGGAGGCCAGAAGGAAGTGGCCCAATATATTCAAAATGCTAAAAGAAGGGGTACCTGGGTGGCTTAGTGAATTAAGCATTCAACTCTTGGTTTTAGCTCAGGTCACAATCTCAGGGTAGTGGGATAGGCCCTGTGTTGGGCTCCATGCTCCATGGGAAGTCTGTTTGAGATTCTTTACCTCTTCCTATCCCTCTGCCCCTTCCCCTACTCACACTCTGTCTCTCTCTTTCTCTCAAATAAATAAATAAATAAATAAATAAATAAAATCTTTTTTTTAATGGTAAAAGAAAAAAACAATCAACAAAAAATCTTATATCCAGCAGAACTACCCATCAAAAGTCAAGGAGAATTAAGGCAATCACAGATAAACAAAACTAAGGGAGTTTGTTACCACTAGAACTGCCCTGAGAGAAAACTCAGGGGTGTTCTCCATGGGGAAAATAAAAGGACACCAGATAGAACTCAAAGGTGTATAAAGAAATAAAGACTTAAAAAAGGTAAATGAACAGGCAATAATAAAAGCTACTGCTATTGTAACAATGGTTTATAACTACATTTTTGTTTTCTACATGATTTAAGAGACCAGCACATTATTTTTTTTAATATTTTATTTATTTATTCATGAGAGGCACAGAGACAGAGAGAGAGGCAGAGGGAGAAGCAGGCTCCATGCAGGGAGCCCCACGTGGGACTTGATCCTGGATTTCCAGGATCACACCCTGGGCTGAGGGTGGCGCTAAACCACTGAGTCACCCAGGGTGCCCGAGACCAGCACATTAAAATAAACTAATAAACTAATAAAAACTAATGTATAATTAGTTTGTAATTATAATTATATACTAATGTATAATTAGCAATGTATAAAAATGTAATTTTGTGACATCAATTAACCAAAAAGGTTGGGGATGAAGCCATATCGGAGCAGCATGTTTGAATGTTAATAAGCTGGTATAAATTAAAATCTGAGTGTCACAGATTTAGAAGGTTAAATTAAATCCCCATTGTAACCACACACACAAAATAGCTGTAGAATATACACAACATAGAATTAGAAAAGAATTTAATGTTTTATAAGGAATTAACCAAATACGAAAGAAACAGTGATACAGAAAGTGGGGGGGGGGCTAAAAGGCATATAGAAAACAAATAGCAAAAGGACAGAAGTAAGTCTCTCTTTATCAGTAATTACATTAAATGTACATGGGTTAAATTCTCCAAACAAAAGACAGAGAATGGCAAAATGGTAAGAACACACAATCCAACTGTAATATCTTTGTATGGTGACAGTTTGTAGCTACACTTGTGGTGCATACATAGTTGTCAAATCACTATGTTGTACACCTGAAACTAATGTAACATTGTGTGTCACTATGCTTCAAAAAATAATAATAATTAAAAATTAAAAATAAAATAGGATTAGCAATGGGGGCAAGAAGGTGTGGAGTGTATGGGAACTTCCTGTAGTATCTTTACAACTTTTCTGTAAACCTAAAATTATTCCAAAATTAAATGTATTAAACAAATAAAAACAAAAATTAAAAGGCCGCAAATAAAAATATAATCCAAGTATATTCTGTCTGCAAGAGACTCACTTTAGATCCAATGATACAGATAAACTAAAAGGGAAATGATGGAAAAAGATATTCCATGTAAGTAATAATCAAAAGAAAGCAGAAGCAGATGAGCCTATGACAACATAACAGATTTTAAATCAAAAAAGATTAAAAGAGACACAGAACAACATTATATATTAATGAAAGTTCATACAGCAAGAAGATATAACAATTACAAACATATATGCACGTAATAAGATATGATCAAAATGTCTAAAGCAAAAACTGACAGAATTGAAGGAGAAATAGACAGATCTATATTAATCATTGAAATGTCATACTCTAACCAATGGATAAAATAACCAGAAAGATGATCAGCAAGGAAATAGGAGATTTAAACACACTGATACACTAGATGTAAGAAACATTTACAGAACATAATTCTACCCAAGAACAACAGCATACATGAGTATGCTTCTCAAGGATACATGGGACATTTTCTAACAGAGACCATATGTTAAGCCACAAGTAAGTCTCAACATATTTTAAAAGACAAGTATCATACAACATACTTCTTCTGACCACAACAGGTTGAAGTTAGAAATGAATAGAAAGAAAACCAGAAAATTCACAAATTATGGATATTAACACTTTTTATAGAAGCAATGTATCAAAAATAAATCACAAGTGAAATCATAAAATCCTTAGAGACAAATGAAAATGAAAATACAGGGCAGCCTGGGTGGCTCAGCAGTTTAGTGCCTGCCTTCCGCCCAGGGCCTGATCCTGGAGACCCGGGATCGAGTCCCACGTCCCGCTCCCTGCATGAGCCTGCTTCTCCCTCTGCCTGTGTCTCTGCCTTTCTCTCTCTCTCTCTCTCTCTCTCTGTGTGTGTGTGTCTCTCATGAATAAATAAGTAAAATCTTTTTAAAAAAAGAAAGAAAATGAAAATACAAAATACTAAAACTTATGGAATACACCAAAGCAGCATTTAGAAGGAAATTTAAAGCTTTAGATGCCTATATTAAAAAAGAAGTTTCTCAAAAAAATATCTCAAATCAATAACCTATCCTGGCTCCTTAAGACACCACAGAAGGTGTACTAAACTTAAAATAAACATGTTAGAATTAATAAAGATAAGGGAGAAATTAATAAAATTAGAAATAGGGAAACAATAGGAAATCAATGAAGCCAAACGAGTACTTTGAAAAGATCAAGAAAATGCACAAACAAGACAGAAAGACTCGAATTACAAAAACCAAAAATGGAAGAAGGAACACCACTAATGACCACACAGAAATTCAAAGGACTACAAAAGAATTCATGAACTCTAGATGCTACAAATTAGAAAATAGATGATACAGACAAATTCTTAGAAAGACATAAACTACCAAAGTTAACTTAAGGAGAAATAGACATTCTGAATAGACTTATAAAGAGTAAAGATTGCCCCATTTAGGTAAAACTCAGAGTTTATTGATCAATAATAATGTATGGAGGCTTCCCTAAAATGAAGTGACACTCGAGTTACAGAGGTAAAATATGTAGATATGGCATTGTGGAAGCCAGGTCTATACCACCTAATAAGATATCCAGCACTTAACAAAACACACACACACGCACACCTTTCCCATCTTTTTAGTACAAGTAATTCAAAAAGATTTTGTGCTAAGCAATGCTATACAAAAACAAACAAAAACATTGTCTATCTTTTCCTGGGATAGAGAAATTTAATAATTACAAAAAAAACATACTTGGGATTAAATAATCTCCTCCATAAAGAAGCATGGTGACATTATGTCCATGATCTTGAAGAATCTGAGATACCCGGTCCAGCAGTAAATAATGGCTTCCACCTAGGGACAATAAAATATTTCATTTTTGTAAAGGTGAGAATGGAAAATCTGAAACTGATACTGGGGATAGGGAAATCCAGGATAAGTGAGCAGAGCATTGACGGTTAGTAGAAGAAAATGAGTTTCTTTAGGATAAGCCCCAGACCAGATACCCACATTCTTTCTGGCCAAATCTTGACATGTAGCAATCTTACATGAAAAATTCCCCTTTGCAATTTAAGGTCTCTGTGCCAATGAGATGAGCTTCTCTATGCCTAGGCTTGAAGAAGTTCATGATCTTAGGTACATGCTGCAATTTAGGCAGGCTTAATGAAGATACTATGTCCTAAAGAAGTAGCTGTTTTGTAGAAATTTTGGCACAGTGCTATGTATGTGAGAATTAAGGGTTTCTAAAGGAGAAGCAATTAGAGCTATTTCTGGAATTCTTCTCTCTGGAATTTATATTAACAAGGGAGCCAGAAACATGGGAACATGAATATCAGTCCAAGAAAGAGCCACGGAAGCAGAAGGGGGTTAGAGCCAATGCTCAGAGCCCAAATCCTTTGGATTCAAATGTATTTGGCAAGACGTTCCTCAGTTGGGGCCTAAAAATTGCTGAACATCAAATTACAGAATTCAGAATAACTGTGGACCCTTGGGGTGGAACTACAGGATCCTGTATGCATGAGAAACTGGGACATCACTCACCCTACAAAAATCCTGGGATCCTAAGGAAACAAGCTTGATCATCTGGGGAGGTACTGGTTCTATCACAAAAATATCTAAAACTATGTGATATCAAAGAGCATTTTTCTTGAATCTATGGGTCAAGGAATAGAATTTGCCCACATGGGAAAGTGGGGATTATTTGGAAGATAAAGATCTCATGATGATTGGGTCAGCAGAGAGGGAGGCAGGACTATAGAAATGGGATGTATCTGTGGAAATTACCCTAGTTTTTAAAATCTATAATTCTATTGCCTGAGATAACACAGATTATGGAAAACACAAACCCATACTCCCTCCAACTGCCTACTCTGGCTCACATTTAACCCAAGGAAGAAACGGATACAGGGCACAAGCCCTCTCACCGAGGCCACCATGCCTGAGGGTCTGGGTGACCCAGTGCGTTCTGGGACAGAGGCGGGACCTCCAGCGCCTCTCACCCGCACCTGCTGCCTCTCAGAGTCTGGACGACATGCACTTTCAAGAGGTGAGAAAGTTCTTTTTTTTCTGTTGCTTCTAACTATTATTAAGAAGAGATTTAAAATAGAAATCAAAGTTTTTTAAATGCTGATTTTTAGGAATCTCCACTGTAAAGAGTGGAGTTTGGGAAAGAGGATGGGCTAGAGAGAAGAAACAGTAAGTTGGGGTGTGTCCATGAGGGAGGTCTCGTGTGCTCTTGCAAAAGGCCCCTTATTCCCCTGACCCTCAGGGTCACTGTCAGGAAATAAAACGGAGATGTTCAATTAGACTCTGTGCTTTTTCCTCAGATTTTTGGGGATCTAAACGTGACGTGGGGAGACCCCTATCCTTTCATGATGATGCCACATTTTCCTGGGGAAGCTCCATCCTATGATGCCTCCTTATCCTGACAAATGTTCCTATTCCCCTTCTGTTGCTTTGGGGCCAAAGTAAAGGAAATAAACCTGACTTCCTGCAGAATTGGCTGCTTCACTATCCTTCAAAAGCTTCGAGCAGCAAGGGCGAAAGAGAGAGGGGCTCCCAAGGACTTGACTGTCTTGGGGTCCCCTCCTGTGCCCATCAGTTCTGCAGGTGTCCTGTGAATGACACATTCCCAGTCTGGGCTGCTGCCCACAAGAGTCCCCATCCTTGGCCTCCAAGAGCCTAAACTGGCCTCGCCTTCCACTTCCTACAGCATCTACTGCACACCTCCAAGACATCTGGGGTATCCCTCTGAACGTCCAGCCTCACCCTGGAGTAGATGGCTCGAGGTCTCCAGGTCAGCCCTGGATCTAAATTCTGGCCCCAGCTATGCACCATGGGAAGCACCTACAAGGCAGATTTTTTTAAGTTTTTATTTATTTATTCATGAGACACAGAGAGAGAGAGAGAGAGAGAGAGAGAGAGAGAGAGGCAGAGACACAGGCAGAGGGAGAAGCAGGCTCCATGCAGGGAGCCTGATGTGCCAGGATCATGCCCTGGGCCAAAGGGGCAGGCACTAAACCGCTGAGCCACCCAGGGATTCCCTACAAGGCAGATTAAAAGAGAAGAAAGGAAACCACTGTTTTCTCCAGAACGGACTTCCCCAGCCCAGCAGTGGGGACCTCTCTCTGCGACACAGGCCTGCCCACCTCTCCCTCTGCCAGCCTGGGACACAATCCAGTCTGAAAACCCACAGGGTTTCCTGACCCCAGAGTGTGTGCCTGAGCCCCCGCACGGATGCCCGGGACACAGCTGTCTCTGATTTTCCCACCAAGCACTCACCCAGTGAGGATACAGTCAGGATTTTGGCAGCCTCTGAGAGCAGGAACCCAGACAGGAGGAGGCAGGCTAGCAGCAGCGGCCACTGTCTGGCCATGTTCTCTCCTGGACCAGCTGTGAAGCCCAGTCCTGTGCCCTGTGCCCTGAGCCTGTGCCCTGTGCCCTGGGGACACACCCTGTGCTGGCAGCCAAGGAAATGCACTGAGGGGACAGATTGGGAGGAGGTGAGAGGTGGATCCCGCTGTCTGCTCTTCCGTTTGTCTCTGCTCGCCCTTTGCTCCTCCTCCCCGGGTGCTTGCTCCACAGGCTCTTCTGTTCTCACCCTCCCTAACCTCAGGCAGTGGGAAGGAGGGGTCAGTGAGCTCTCCTTAACCCCTCTCTGTCCCTGTAATCTGCTCTCCACAGAGATGATACTCTAAACCAGGAATGCAGAGACCTTAGGAAGTTGCTTTCCAAGATAGTTCCACCTCCAGGTCACTCAAACTGATTTCCATTTTAGAGATCCTTTTCCAAATTTTCCCACCTCCTTTTTATGGTATTTTGATAGGGATTGCATTGAACGTGTAAATTGCCCTGGGTAACATTGACATTTTCACAATATTAATTCTGCCAATCCATGAACATGGAATATTTTTCCATCTCTTTGAGTCTTCCTCAATTTCTTTCAGAAGTGTTCTATAGTTTTTAGGGTAGAGATCCTTTACCTCTTTGGTTAGGTTTATTCCTAGGTATCTTATGCTTTTGGGTGCAATTGTAAATGGGATTGACTCCTTAATTTCTCTTTCTTCAGTCTCATTGTTAGTGTATAGAAATGCCACTGACTTCTGGGCATTGATTTTGTATCCTGCCACACTGTATGAGTTGCTGTATTGCTGTATGAGTTCTAGCAATCTTGGGGTGGAGTCTTTTGGGTTTTCTATGTAGAGTATCATGTCATCGGCGAAGAGGGAGAGTTTGACTTCTTCTTTGCCAATTTGAATGCCTTTAATGTCTTTTTGTTGTCTGATTGCTGAGGCTAGGACTTCCAATACTATGTTGAATAGCAGTGGTGAGAGTGGACATCCCTGTCTTGTTCCTGGTCTTAGGGGACAGGCTCCCAGTGCTTCTCCATTGAGAATGATATTTGCTGTGGGCTTTTCGTACATGGCTTTTAAGATGTTGAGGAATGTTCCCTCTATCCCTACACTCTGAAGAGTTTTGATCAGTAATGGATGCTGTATTTTGTCAAATGCTTTCTCTGCATCTAATGAGAGGATCATATGGTTCCACCTCCTTTTTAAAAAAGATTTTATTTATTCATTCATGAGAGACACAGAGAGAGAAGCAGAGACACAGAGGGAGACACTTCCCTGTGGGGAATGTGATGTGAGACTCAATCCCAGTATCCAAGATCACATCATGAGCTAGAGGCAGACACCCAACCACTGAGCCTCCCAGGAGTCCCTAAATTTTCTCACCTTCTAACTGCTCCTTTGACCTCATACTGCCATCCCCATACCCCATATCCCAAGTACCTGCTTAAATCTCTGCTAGCTCTCCCATCTCAAGATCCCAGAAGCTGATTCCCAATGGGAAATGCCTACACTTATTGCTCAGAGTTTCTTCCGAAATTAACTTGCTGATAACAAATGCTGGTGTCCCCTAAGTGTTAAGCCCCTCTGGAGGGCCAGATCTTGACCTGATGCTCTGAACCTCTAAAGGTCAGTCTACAGATCTGAACAGGCATGAAAATAGGATTGGGCAGTGGGCACCAGGAAGTTCTAGTCTTACAAATGTTTGAAATTATTCATTAGAAAGATTTTTAAACTCTATCAACATTATTCCATTATTTTTCTTCAAGTTCTCTCCATGTTTGTGCTGTATAGTCTTTGAGGCCATGTGATTACATGCATACACATTCACAATTATCACCTGTTCAGATATTGTCTTCCCAGTGAAAATTTAATGTGCACTAGGAAGGCACCTTTTAATGTGAATGCAATCACATTACTTTGTCTACAAACCTTACTCCAATCCCTCCAATTGTCTGAATAATATCCTCTGTTGGGATATGAATTTGCTGGTATAGGAGCCAATCCAGAATCACACAGCGCCTTTAGTTATCGAATCTATTTATCCCCTTTCGTAAGGATTGGTTTCTCAGCCCTTCTTTGTCTTTCATGTCATTGACATTTTAAAGATTACAAGTTGCTTATTTTGTATGACAGATGCCCAGTTGGGTTTCACTGATGTTGCTCATTATACTTCAGGTTACTAGGAAGTTTGGCAAGAATACTACAAAGATAGTGTTGATTCCATCTCAGCGAATCACAATGGGAAGCACATGATGTCAGAATGTTCTGTTCTAGACTTGATAACTCTGTTGTTTAAGGTGGTGTTCATCAAGATTTTCAACAGTAAAGCTCTTTTTTTTTTATCCTGTAATTAGGAAATAAGACAGAGGGAGACATTTTGAAACTGAAATTCTGTTCCTCATCAAATTTCCCTCATTTTATCATCATTCATATTTCTTACCTGATTCAAGTATTACTGTCATAGTGTCAAATTAATGATTTTTTTAAGTCAAATCCTGGACCTGAGGCCCCACAGCCTCACTCACACGGAGGTCCAAGTTCTGTATTTGAGGTCTCCATGACTACATTTTTAAGAGTGAGAATCTTGAGAAGGGAATCATGGGAAGTGAAAACCACAGCATGAACTGTGGCCCAAAGGCAGACTCCAGGCCTGAGCATCAAAGGAGGAGCACTTCAGAGGAGGGACTCAGGACAGAGACCACAGGTGAAATCCTTGGGGGCCACACATGCCAAGCTGCAGGACAGAGACTAGGCTTCCTGAGCTTGGAGGTGAGGTGAAAAGGAGATGTAAGAGCAGAGGCCAAAATGGAAGAGCTGGCAAATATCTCAGGTCATATCATGAAAAGTGGAAAAAAAAAAAAGCAGAGAGAGACTGAAAAGTTTCTGAGACAGTGAGTATATGAACCAGACTATGGCCATCTTGAGAAATTCCATCACTATAACTACTCTGTGGCCTAAAACCTTCTTAAGTACAGGCCCTTTCCTCCATTTTTTTTCTTTTAACTCACCCTTAAGTACACCCTCCAGGCAAAGCTTTCTTGATCAGTTCAGGATATGACTCCTCCTAGACAGCCCCCCAGTATATACTCCCCAGCCTTTAAAGCAGGTCTAACTGGAGGTGGTATTGTGGAGACCTACTAATCTTGTGGCAGCCCAAGACAGTCTTATGTTTATGTAATAAATATCTATCCATAATAAATAATTTCTCATCAAGCTGGACCTGTTTGCCTTTTTCTTCAGTCTCATGGCTTCTTTGGCCTTTGAAGGTAGTTGTAAATACCTCCCTTTCAGGGAACAACAGAATGAACTAAGCAGGGGTTATGTCTAGGAATAGGGAGTGGGGAGGAAGGTGGGGCTATCTTGCTGAAGGTTTGGGTCTACAAGAGGAGTCAATTGATAAGGGGTAAGAACCCTGAGATCGAATTCATAGACACAGAAAATAGGACAGGGATTTGCCAAGAGTCAGAAGTGGGGGTGTGGGGTGGTAATCAGTGCAGTTTTAGTTTGGAAAGATGAAAAGTTCCAGAGATGGATATTAGTAATGTTTACACCACAATATGAATGTACTTAGTGCTGCTAAACTCTATACTTAGTGGCTAAAATAGTCAATTTCATGTAATGTATATTTTTTAAAAAGACCCCCAAGAGTGCTTCACAAAAATTTCTACACAGAGACAGAAAATAGTGAAGAGCAATTTGAGTGCCACCCTCAAGTACCAATACAGAGAAGAAAACAGGTGTCCTGAGCTGGGGAAAGCCATATACAACCAGTGGCTCCCCAAACACCTGTCAAGGCTGAACCTCCATCAGGCCTTCTTCTGCTTCCTGGCCCCACACAGCCACTTGGCCACCATGCCCAGCAGCTTCCCACAGAGCCACAGGGTGCCCAGGGTGACCACCAGCAGGAACAAGATGACATCCAGCAGGTATTGCTCATGCCATGGCTGTTGCAAGGCATAGGGCTTGAGGTGTGCTGCGCCCCCTGTCTGGAGGATGTGATCGATCCAGCCCACCAGCTTCTGGGTAGGGGTCAGGGGGTGAGAGCTCCTGATGATGCTGGCAGCCACGGCTGCTGACTTGTACCTGTTGGCAGAGACAGGGGTGGGGCATTACTCATGTGACCTCAGAAGTCTTAGAGACCTGCATCTCACATACACTTTCATCCAAATGCACAAAAGACTCAGTTTGAAGGAAGAGTTCTTGGCCTGGCCTTGCCACAGTCTAGGTGGGTCCCACTGAAAAGTTCTAACTGGTCCCTCCATGCAAAGATCCAAGCCTAGTCCTAAAGTGCTAAACTATAAAAAGGTGACCAAAATGTAAGGACACGTCTCTACACAAGGATATTTATGGTACAATGAAAGAAAAATTATATAGGAATATATGCTATGTAGTATACACGGATTTAGGGTAAATGTCCTTGAGACCCTAATATGACATCCAGTCCATCATGGTTATCACATCATTGTGCTGGATGGGAATTTACTTAAGAGAACATGAGCTTTTTTACCGACTCACTTAACAGAAATTCATCCGTTTACTTTGTGGCAGGCTCTGTGCTAGGCCCTGGGAGCACAGGGGAAATAAGAGACACACCTGGCCATCCAGGGAGCTTACACTCTACTTTCTAGTATAAGGGACACACAATAAATTAAAACAAACAAATGGGGTGGTTACTGATCATGAGAAGTGTTAAGACAGAAAAATTATGATTGAAGGGGGTGGAGAATAAGGTATTTAGGACTGTCACACAAAGACCTCCTGCCTCTCTGAGGAGAGGACATTGGAGATGACACTGTCATGAAGGAGCCATCCCTGTGAAGGGAAGGGAAGGGAAGGGAGTAGCACTGACAAAAAGGCTTAAGGCAGGAAACAATGTGGCATTTTAGGGGACAGAGAGGCAACTCCTGACTCAACTGGAATTCTACTATAAGCACTCCAAAATATAAGACCTCTCAGAGACCCTGTATAAGTATGTTGAGGTCTTCACCCTTAAGACAGCAATTGTTTTCAACATCTAACCTAAATTGCCTAGTCTTGTTCTCAGAGGAAACATGTCAGTTGTAAGCATCATGCACGTATTATTCTGTGTCTTGGAAGTTTCAGCTTTTATTGCAAAAAAGTGGCACACAGTGCCCTTTGTGTTTTATGTCTTCATTCAGCCT